TTCATGAGTTCAACATCCTGGGGTCTCTAGTGTTTTACAGTTTTTTTGTTTGTTTGTCTTTGCCAAATAAGCCTGAAAAATGTTAACAAAGAGAAAAGCCTTTCTTGGTTCCTAATCTATTTCTAGAATGGCTTACTACAAATACTAAAGTTTCTCTATTTCCCTGTCAATTTACCAAATTTCAGAGATGTTTAACAAAGCACCAACAAGCAGTTGCTTATGGAGCATCACCTTGGATTTATAAACAAATGGAGCTACCCACAGACTCAGATTCTAATTTCTATACTCAATTCCCAATTTGTTCACTGATGCATATACTTAATTCGAAATATGAGACGTTTCCAAAAATAAAAGAAATGCTGAGACTTCGTAACAGGAAAACTCTGTCAATGAAATATTTAACTCGTGCAGTTTTTTACTGACATTACTTTTAACCTCCAACCTTTCCTTTAATCTTTTCAAATTTTAAATGTCGATATACAATTCATATAAGTGACCATTCTTTTCGGTTGTAAAAATGTAACTTCACATTACACTTACTTGCTCTTTATTCGGAAGAATGCACTGGTGGGAAATCCAAGCAAAGTGAGCTAGTTTTAGTTTATCTTCCCAAGAAGTTGTCTTGCTTTTAAGCTTAAAGGAAATGCCAGAGTAAACAGCAGCCATTGCTACACTTTATCTATAATTTAAAATGGAAAAAGTATATTACGGTCAAACTCAACAGGCACCAAAAAATGAACATCACATATATATTATTACATACATGACATATATTCCTTTTTTATTTTTCTAATTTTATTATGTTAATCACCATACATCATTAGTTTTTGATGTGGTGATCCATGATTCATTGTTTTCGTGTAACACCCAGCGCTCCATGCAGTACGTACCCTCCTTAATACCCATCACCAGGCTAACCCATCCTCCATTCCCCTCCCCTCTAAAACCCTCAGTTTGTTTCTCAGAGTCCACAGTCTCTCATGGTTCATCTCTCCCTCCGATTTCCACCCCCTTCATTTTTCCCTTCCTTCTCCTAACGTCCTCCCTGCTATTCCTTATGTTCCACAAATAAGTGAAACCATATGATAAGTGACTTTCTCTGCTTGACTTATTTCACTTAGCATAATCTCCTCCAGTCCCATCCATGTTGATGCAAAAGTTGGGTATTCATCCTCTCTGATGGCTGAGTCATATTCCATTGTACCTATGGACCACATCTTCTTTGTCCATTCATCTGCTGAAGGGCATCTTGGCTCTTTCCACAGTTTGGCTATTGCGGACACTGTTGCTATGAACATTGGGGTGCACATGGCCCTTCTTTTCACTACATCTGTGTCTTTGGGGTAAATACCCAGGAGTGCAATTGCTGGGTCATAGGGTAGCTCTATTTTTAATTTTTTGAGGAACCTCCATACTGTTTTCCAAAGTGGCTGAACCAACCTGCATTCCCACCAACAGTGTAAGAGGGTTCCCCTTTCTCTACAACCTCTCCAACATTTGTTGTTTCTTGCCTTCTCAATTTTTGCCATTCTAACTGGTGTAAGGTGGTAATCTCAATGTGGTTTTAATTTGAATTTCCCTGATGGCTAATGATGACGAACATTTTTTCATATGTCTGTTAGCCATTTGTATGTCTCCTTCAGAGAAGTGTCTGTTCATGTCTTCTGTCCATTTTTTGACTTGATTATTTGTTTTTTGGGTGTTGAGTTTGAGAAGTTCTTTATAGATCTTGGATATCAGCCCTTTATCTGTAGTGTCATTTGCAAATATGTTCTCCCGTGGGTTGCCTCCTTGTTTTGTTGACTGTTTCCTTTGCTGTGCAGAAGCTTTTTATCTTGATGAAGTCCCAAAAGTTCATTTTTGCTTTTGTTTCACTAGCTTTTGGAGATGTATCTTGAAAGAAGTTGCTGTGGCCGATGTCAAAGAGGAATAAACCTAATGAAAGAGGTAAAGGATCTATACTCCAGGAACTACAGAACACTCATGAAAGAAATTGAAGACACAAAAAGATGGAAAAACATTCCATGCTCATGGATCGGAAGAATAAACATTGTTAAAATGTCTATGCTACCCAGAGCAATCTATAACTTCAATGCCATCCCGATCAAAATTCCAATGACATTTTTCAAAGTGCTAGAACAATCCTAAAATTTGTATGGAATCAGAAAAGACGCCAAATCGCCAAGGAAATGCTGAAAAAGAAAAATAAAGCTGGGGGCATCACATTGCCCAATTTTAAGCTATATTACAAAGCAGTGATCACCAAGACAGCATGGTACTGGCACAGAAACAGACATACAGACCAATGGAACAGAATAGAGAGCCCAGATATGGACCCTCAACTCTATGGTCAAATAATCTTCGACAAAGCAGGAAAAAATACGCAATGGAAAAAAAGACAGTCTTTTCAATAAATAGTGCTGGGAAAATTGGACAGCCACGTGCAGAAGAATGAAACTTGACCATTCTCTAACACCATACACAAAGATAACTCAAAATGGATGAAAGACCCCAATGTGAGACAGGAATCCATCAAAATCCTAGAGAATATATTCCTTTTTTAAAAGACAATTTTAGTGAATTAAAATACCTTAACATTGGGTATAAATCTATACATAAAATGCTGTAGCCCATGATCACGAAAATATAAATCAAAACCACAATGAGCCCATGATCACGGAAATACAAATCAAAACCACAATGAGTGGTATCACAAAGTGATACCACCTTGCACCGGTCAGAATGCCTAAAATGAACTCAGGACACAACAGATGTTGGCGAGGATGCAGAGGAAGGGGAATCCTCTTACACTGTTGGTAGGAATGCAAATTCTAGAGAAGACTATGGAGGTTCCTCAAAAAGTTAAAAATAGAGTGACCCTATAACCCAATAATTGTACTACTATGTATTTATCCAAAGGTTACAAACATAGTGATTCAAAGGGGCACATGCACCCCAATGTTTATGGCAGCAAAGTCCACAGTACCCAAACTATGGAAAGAGCTCAGATGTCCCACGATAAATGGATAAAGATGTAGTATGTGTGTGTGTGGGTATATACATATATAAACACACACATATACATATATACACATATATGTATACACACACACGCACGCGCGCGCGCACAGGAATATTACTCAGCCATCAAAAAGAATGAAATCTTGCCATTTGCAATGACATGGTTGGAACTACAGGGTATTATGTTAAGCGAAATAAGTCAGTCAGAGAAAGACAAATACCATATGATTTCACTCATGTGGAATTTAAGAAACAAAACAGATGAACACAGGGGAAGGGAAGGAAAAATAAAATAAGATGAAAAGAGAGAGGGAGGCAAACCATAAGAGACTCTTAATCATAGGAAACAAACAGGGTTGCTGGAGGGAAGGAGGATGGGGGGGAAGGGGATAACTGGGTGATGGGCATTAAGGAGGGCACCTGAAGTAATGAGCACTGGGTGTTGAATGCAACTGATGAATCACTAAATTCTACCTCTGAAATGAATAATACAGTATATGTCCACTAAATAGAATTTAAATTAAAAAATTTTTTAATGCTTCAGCCCATGAATTTTCTGGGGGAAATTCAGACAAAAGCAGGCAGAAGGATTATACAGACATACGTAAGAGTATTCCTGCTGTGAGCTGACTGTGCAGGAATAAAACTGGGCAAAAATCCTCAGAGGTGATCGTGAAGGAATACAACTGGGCAAAACCCAGTGTTCAAATTATTTGTGAAAGAAGATTCACACGTGGTTTTAGACTGAAGGTTTCTGCACAAATCGTCTGAAATATACTATGTACTAAGAAAAGCTCCATTAAATAGTTGAGGGGGGTGCCTGGGTGGCTCAGTCGGTTAAGCAGCTGCCTTTGGCTCAGGTCATGATCCCTGGGTGCTGGGATGGAGCCCCCCCCCCCCCCCCCCCGCAGGCTGGGTGGGAGCCTGCTTCTCCCTCTCCACCCCCACCCTGCTGCTCTTGCTCTCCCCTCTCTTTCCCTCTCTCTCAAAGAAATAATCTTATAAAAAGTTAGTTGAGAGAGAGAAATAAGCAGTATTTGGAAACAGTAATATTTCACGCAGTAAAATAGAAATAATGTATAAACCCAGCCCCAATAGAAATACTGTTATTTCAGCTGCAACAGTAACTTCCCACTGTAACTATTCATTTACGTATGAGCTTAGGGACATGCACTGCTTCCAGAAAGCCTCTACAAAATACAGTTACACAATTGAAACTGTAAAAATAGAGCACAATAAAATCGCGAATAAAGGAAAGCATGCATACCAACCAGCTATAATTCTACAAACCTGAGGTAAACATAGCTTTGAGTTTACTAAAAGTCATAATAAAAAGGGGAAACATCACTTTAAGCGATTTTCATTATATAAAAGAAAACAAGTCAGTTCCTCAAAAAGGAAAATTTTTCAAAATACTGAAAAAATATCGTATATAAAAACAAAATAGAATACCAAAAAATGATCGCAGTCCCAGGTTTCTAATACACTCTGAAACGAAAAGAATTTGCCAAGGGCTGGATCACTTTCATTTCTTCAATCTAGGGGACCTGAAATCCTACAGACCGACCTTCAGAACTCACCCTCAATAGGTAACTACACAAGGAACGAGCAAACACCGCAAGGACACTAACATTCAGTAGGGCATCCTTCACTCTAGTACAGAGAACAGAGACACTCAGGTGCTGTCAGTTTTCCCATTTTGTCAAAGCGTCCAAGACGTACCCGCTCAACAACTTACTTCTAAATTCAGTATGTCAGAAAACCACCGTACCAGCTACAAAGTACTTAAAAAGTGTTTACAGAACTGGTTACAAAGACGCCCCAGACACCCTCCCGGAGGCTACAACGTCTGTTCCGCTCTCGGGGCCCTCCAGAGGTCTCTGTGAGGAGACTTTAGCCCAGGGCCGAACGCAAACCCCTGCTAGTACTCACGGAAAGGGCGCTTAAGCGCGGCCACACGCGGAATCCTGCGGAGCAGAATGAAACCAAGCAACAAGAATCACAAGAGAGCAACGAGGAGCTACGTGAGAGGCCGCCGAAGGAGCGAGCCCGGTGCGCTCTCCCCAGCGCTTGCTGTCCACGGGAGGGCCCGGGGCCGGACCCGGGGCGGAGGGTCCTCCTCGGTTAAGGAGCTCATCCTTATAACCTGGATAGGGGCCGCGGGAGGGGGCGTAGCGCCTGCCCGGGGGAGCGGGGGGGTTTGCTCACCTCAGGGCCGGCCCCCGGGAAGGGGCTCACCTGGAGGCCGTCCTCAGGTAAAGAGCTCACCTCAGGCCCCGCCCCAAGTAGGGCCGGCGGGCGCGACGGAAGGCAGTCTCCAGGTTAAGGAGCTCACCTGGCGGCCAGCCCCGCTTGGGGACCGCGGGCGGGGACGGAGGACGGTGGCGGCGGCAGGTCCGGGATCCCGGGCTGCCCCACCACGTGAGACCGGCCCCCGCACCCCTTCCGCCCGACGCCGGCGGCGCGGCGGGGCGGGGCGGCGCGCACGCCAGGCATCGCCAGCAGAGCGCCGAGGCGCCTCGCCCATTGGTGGAGACGGTTGCGCGTTGGAGGCCCGAGCGGCCCAGCCCGCGGCCCGCTCCGTGTCAGTCAGTCATGGAGCGGCCGCCCAGAGCCGCCGCTGCGGGGGCGGCAGGGCGCGGGGTGCGGGGGCCCGGCTGAGCCGGCCGTCGGAGCGAGACCCTGCGGCAGAGACGACGGAGGCGGAAGCAACCCGATCCCGGAGGCGGCGGCGGCGGGAGGAGCCGGAGCCGCCTGGGATGTTCAGTGAGTGCGGGGCGCGCGGGTGGGGAGGGTCGAGGGAGGGGGTCGCGAGCCGAGCGCGCGCGGGCGGGCGG